GTGGTGGGGGGGGGAGAATTTGGGGGGGGGAATCTTTTCTTGCAGGAAGCAGTTCAAGAATGTCCACTTTCTCTCTACCAAACTTATACACGTTGCTTTTGCTTGAATTTCAGGGAGCCCCTACAATGCAAAGACTTGCTGCAGTCAATGGGCTGGTCTCTCTAGTGGGTTCTGAAAGCACCATGATACAGGTAAAATGAGAGCATGCCAGGTCATTTCTGTCTTGAATTTACATAGTTTTCAAATTTGAGAATGAGGCAATTTTGCAAATTATTTTACTTCAGAGGTATTGAAAAAGCCCCATAACATCGCAAAAATATGCTCGCATCCAGTGGAAAAACCATAATATCAGATGAAGTGTAGGCAACTTTAGTTCCTTGAGAGCTGCCCCAGGTTGGTTCAGACTTTGAGCGACACACAAATGTCTTCATTTTGCATTTGGGGATACACATAAGTATCCAAGTCTTTTTTCACATAGATACACACTTAGAACCGTCCCTTCACATAACCCCACTGATACCCACAAATCCTTCTCTGCTCCCTACTGCCTAAAATTTGTTATGGGGCTATTTTGAACTATTTCACTGGGAGGATGGCCAGTGCATCACTTTCTTTCCTTGCTGCCCGAGAGGTTGTAAGGATTGAGCAGGATGCCAGTCTGGAAAAGAGCAAGAAGCCTGCAGAGATTCTGGTTGCCAATCCTTCTTTCCATGGTACTTCTTAGTAATCATAACTACTATTTCCCCATATTTCTATTCTCACTTTTGAAGAAAAACCCTTTTACATTTTTTAAATTATCTGATTATTCTGTTACAGTAAAGTACTAAAACAAGTTGTATGAGTATGTTCTGAGTGTGAGTATGTAACAAAAAAGTGGCCAGTATGACTAGGCTACACATAGAGAGAAGGCTTGCATGTTGTCACAAGCAAACTCCAGTACTCCAAATATAGCCTTCTCAACCTGCTGCCCTCTGGATTTCTTCGGTATCCACGTTCCAGAATTCTTTTGGTCATCTAGGTGGGAATTTGGGGGGTTGCCAGCCTAGCACCTCTCATCTGGAATTCTTGTCAGCAGTGGTTTCCCTAAGTTTCCATCAGAGATGCAGAACAGGCTTTGCTTCACACCACAATGTAGTGTATGTTATTCTTCCCCGCATGAATGAGAAACAGATGTTTATGTAGAGTATATAGATCAGTTCTGATTTCTTCTGGGTCATGCAACATATTAAGTATTTAGTTTATTATTGTGCAATATTTTCTTGGTTACTTCAGTGTGATGAAATATTTAGAATCTGTGTGTGTGTGCGCGTATGTGTATTCACTGATAAAAATAGTATAAAAAAATATCAAGTGATTGGGGTTTTCCTAGTAACAGAAGGGAATATAGAGTCAACAATGGTAAAACTTTTACTCGAGACATTGTGTTGTAGTGGTTAAGGTATAGGATTGGCACTGGGAAAACCCAGACTCAAGTCCCCCCTCAGCCACAGAAGCTCGCTGGGTGACTTTGGACTAGTCACTCTGTCTCAGCCCAACCTTTCTCAAAGGGTTTTTAATTGGGAAAAATGGGAAGAAGGAGTACTGTGTGTTCCTGAATATAAGGCAAAATATAACAAATACAATAAATTAATAGCTGAGCAAATGATGGAGCACTATTTTATTAAGTGGCTTTCTCCCATTTATCTATGCTTCCTTAATTAGTAACCTGTAGAGTGTAATATCATATGATACTCAAAATTGCTTTGGCAGCATACTTTCAGTGTTAGAAAATAAAATTGTTTTTAGTTCTCATATTAAATAAATATTAAAATAAAACGTGTGTGTGTACATGTGCATGAGAGTCCCTCCCCAAATAGGTGCTTTAGTTTTATGCACAATTGTTTTTTCATCCATCAGTGTTCTCTCCTCCCATTTCTCTCTGCTTTTTTTTTTTAATAGCTGAAATCGGAAGCTATCCAATCTTCTCAGTTTCAAAGCAAACTTAATGAAGTCATCCGAACCCTGACTCAGGTGTGGGTTAATGTATTCACATTGCTGTGAAATTCTTTCAGGGTAAAGTATGGGATTATCTAGGCATTCCTTCAGGTGCTCTTTTCCAAAAGCCTCCAAAAGTTGCTGACAAATTGGTATGTTTTTTGTGACGTGGTAAAACGATTAAATAGAAGGGAATAATCATGTTAGGAATGTAATTAATTTAATTCAAGTACATAATACTTTGTTTCTGACCTTGCTTACTTATTGTTCTGGGCCCATTTCCTTTTTGGAAAGCAGCTGTTGGCTTGAAAATGGTTGGTAATCATATCAGTCTTTTAATGTGGTTGGGAAACAGCCGTTGATGATGCTGTCCACTGCCCATTTGATCTGACATACTGTAGTTCCAACTTCATCTTTATCACTAGTCTTTATTCTAGCCTGCAGTGAACTATCTTACTCCAAATAATTATGAAGAAAAAGAGGTCTTAATAGCCACATGCGCATATGGTCATATTGGTTAGAATCCCCTTTCCAATTTTGGGATCATTAGTTTCCTTGCTTGGTTATAATCTTTTTAGTAGTTCACACCTATTCAATACCCACAGAAGTATACTTCAGAGTGAGGGTGGAGAGAAGACATTTTGGTACTAGTTACTTCCATTTGTGCAGAATTACTTCCAGGTATGGATATAATCATGCAGCAATTCCCAGATAGTTTTATATGAGTGATTTTTTTCTTCTTGTTCCTGTTTTTGGTTACAGCTTTCTCATTCAGGGTAGACATGATTTTCACTACAGGGAAAATATTCACAGACAACTGAGTGGTCATGGTGGGGCATTCCTTCCTTCAACACTTGCCTATGTTTTTTCCCAAAGGATAAAGCATTTTTATTTCGTTACCCAGAGAATGGTATGGTCTACTCACCTAAATATTGAGTGTGCCCATATAGGTTATGGGGAATATACTAGTGGTATTTATTTTATAGTAATGATAATCTACATAAAATGAATTATACTTTTGGTTTGTTTGTGATGCTTCTTCTTACAGATAATCAGCTTTTCTGGGGTGATAGGCCTTCAGGTAAATGCAGCATGGATGTTAGGACATTTATATCTTTCTAGTGTGTCTGCAACCCGTAGCCGAACATCTGGTAAGTTGAAGCTTCTCTTATGAATGCGTAGATTCAGAAAATACCAGTGGAAAGGGAAATAGATGATAATCAAGAGTTTTGATATTTCAAACAGAGGTCCCCAGAGGCTGGGGCTTATTTTTTGAGGCCATGTAGTCAGCTTGAGCAGAGTGTCCTTTTTTAGTTCATGGAGAGAGAATGGCGCCTGTTGATGACTCTGGTAGAGAACATTTCTGTTCCTGGTTTGCCAGCTCACTGAATTGCCCACAGCCTGCTTTCCCCTGCTCTAAGTTGCCCTGTGATCAGAGTTAATCATATTAGCTTTCATTTAATTAAATGTAAATGAAGTGAAAGTTTTTAACTTGGTCCTGTCCTCCATTTTTTAGAATGCCATCTCCAGCATACTACACAAATATTATGCATGGACCTTAGTTTTGAACTCTAGTATCAGGCATCTTCCTATATTCTGCTGTAAAATTGTCAGTGTGAATGTGGAAATGATTAACCTGGTTTGCATTTGTCTTTACAGTTCCTTCAGACTTTAGCTACCTCCCTGAGAAAAGTTTCCTTAGAGCAGCCGTTGATTTTATTATAGAAGGTGGAAAGAAAGGTAAACAAGAAACTCTTATATGAGGAAAACATCTTCCAATGACGAGAGGAAAAAATTATTTCTCTTCTCTACCACAAATGTGACATGATAATTGGAAGTATGGTCCAAACTCTTCTCTATTACTGCAGAAATCATCAGCAGAGCAATATTTTGTTTTACAACCATAGAAAATCTTATATTGCTGATGTGAATTTATAATTCTACATTTTCTTAATGACTGTGTAATACAGACACAGCCAAAAGTATTGGTGCCCCTCCACTTTTTTCCAAAGAATCCCAATTCTTAACATTTACGAGAATATGTTCATACATCAAAAGCCAAGTGTCTGCTCTATGGACTATGGAATAAAGAATGGTGGATGCCATTTACTTGTGTCAGTTTCAACTTCTTTCATGGCAAATTGGGATTCTTTGGGGAAAAGTGGGGGGGTACCAATACTTTTGGCTGTGTCTGTATACTTGTTTATTTTGTATTTCTGGAGAGAAGGGTGGATGGATCCCAATGAAAAACCCTTCACTCTGATGAAGGGCATTCATACCACATATTGCTATGGGGATACAGAATGATTATATTTTGAAAACTCAGTAAAATATAGTTAAAGCTTATGAAAAATAATCTAGTGTTTGTTTTTATCATTATTTAGTTGTAAATTACTCATGATATCTAGTTGTTCAAGTAGTAATTTGGGGCTCTGTTTTAGGGCCTGAAGAAGTTCATCCTAGCTTCCTAAAGGCAGCCATGGCACCCATTGCACTGATTGGAGGAAGCTATCAGTATCCCCCTCTGAACTGGGCATCAGTTCTTGCCCCTCTGCTGCGGCTAGATTTTGGTATGCTTTTTTTTTTTTTTTAAGTTACTGAATTTTTTTTTTTTAGTTACTGAATTCTGTCTGTATTCCTTTTAGTAGATAAATACTTCATCAAATGTTTTGTTTTAATATAGAGCAACATGTTTTTACTTATTTCTGTTTATCCATTATTAAGTGTTCTTCACAGAAAGATCTAAGAAGGAGAAGGTTTTATACATTCAATTTATGAATTTCCCTGTATCTTAATGGGCTCCAGTACAGCATATATTTCTGGTGACCCCTGGAAATTTAAATTTGGGTCATAGATTTAGTGGGCAGAAGAAAGACAATTAGAGTGAAAGTGCAGCGCCCTTTCTTATATTACAGGACTTGGATATATGGTGGAGAACCAGATATGAATTCCTTTATTTACTGAGCATTTATTCTCAGTTCATGTAATACCATTTTCACCACACTGTTTGCAATGTGGAAAGGTAGCCTTAAAGCTATGAAAAGAACATCTAAAGTCAAGTTCTTCCATTCTAAGGTATTTAAATTTGTTTAAAGTCCTACTTGGCACTGGCCAATTAATGTACATTTTCTATTTATCATGCTCCTGTAATTGGATGTTAGTTTTACTATAGTTTTAGAATAATTTTTGTAACTCAGTATTAAATCAGAATATATTGCTGTAGTCTACTGAATTGCATATCTGCCAGAATATAGGAAAAGTAAGTATAAATCATGGCTATGAAATAAGTAAATAAGAGATCAAGTCCATTTCACTTAGTTTTCACTTTTGTGCAGAATCAGGCAACTCTCCAGGAGAAGGAACAATCTTACACTTGAGGCCAGTTGGATAGTTGCTTGCTTTCTTTAGTCTGTAATGATTGTTTCAACCAGGAAAAGGGATCACCATAAGTGCACTGCTTTTTGGTGATCCCTGTGAAAAATATTACTAGTGCTGTATTATGTTTTCCAAGGCAATGGAAATTTCCGTGGCTGATAGTTAATACAGGAAGTTGAGGCTGGTGTTTTATTCCATTCCTTTTGCTATACCTACCTATGGCTTCAACTCTCTCTGTCCTTTCTCTTTTAGGAGAAGAAATACAGCAGTTGTGTATTGAACTAGCTGTGACCCAGGCCCAATCATCTCAGAATGCAGCAATGATTTTAGGGATGTGGGTGGCACCGCCTCTGGTCTACAGTCTAAGTGTAAGCATTGTCCCTCTGATGGCTCTGATTCCCCAGTCTTGTGGGTGGAGCTGGGAAGACAACTCCTTTTGCTGTGTGGTTCCTCTGCACTCAGTAATAAGAAAGAAGCCTTATTTTAATGTGCTAGATTTATATTTTTTTAAAAAAATAATCTTTTCTCTGAATGAAAAAGAAAAAAAAATCCACAAATGTAGTATAAAATCATATTGGTTTACACATTCTTCAAATACATAAATGTATTCTTCAAAGGCATTTGTTCAGAATAATAAAGTAAATAATCAACTATGATTTAATGTTCTAATGCATGTTAGATTATTGTGAATCCCTAATGTTATATGTTTGCTCATCAGATACAAGCCAAGAGGTACCTTTTTACTTCCTTACCTCTGTGGATGAAATATGTAGCAGAAGACAAACAGCAGGTCTTCACTGAAGTGTTTATGGTGCAGCATTTTGAGACAAAAAACCAGCCAAAAAACCAAGACCTTTGCTGGAATATTTTGCAGGGACTCAGCCAAGCCATGAAATTTCCTAGCCCAACTCAGCACAGCTGGAGCTGTTTTTGCAAGGCTGCTGAGAAGATATTTGAGCTTTTGCCAGATGAGATTTGGGTAAGGAAAAGCAAACATTTGAAGTATTAAAACTTTGCTGAAAAAGGCTCATTTGGGAAGATAAAAGAAGTTGGTGAACTGGGATGGCTAGATGAAAAAGCATGAGCTCTGACATATACAGATATTCTACTGTGTACAATATTTTAACCAGAGCTTTCATAGATGCTGAATTACACAAGTATGCTGTAGGATAATCTCTTGGATTTTTTTAAAGGGGAGTGTGTCTAATTTGAGAATAATTTAGATCAACATTAGAAATGTCTGCTTCTCTGATTACTATACTGTTGAAGAAGAGAATAAATTTGATCCTATTGCTGCAAAAAGTAGCTATTAACTCAATTAAGTTGGGATTCCATTGAGAGGATATTCACAGAACTTAGGTCATGTTAGAAACTCAAGTACTGAGTAAATAAGATAATTGAGGTGTTATTTGGTAAAATTTTCTTTGAGACTTAATATGGCAAATATGTCAAATGGATTTAGAAATGGTTCTACACTGTTATTTTTAGCTAATAGAGCAAAATATTTAATTTTGCCCATTAATTAAAGATATGTTTGCAAGACCTCTGTGGGTCTCCAGTCTTAATGGACAACACTGAAGCCTTCTTCACATGTTGATTTGAATACATGTAGGCAAAACAGTGAGTGGGAAGTGGGGCTGTTAATACTAGTCCCATTCCCCTCATCTTCTCATGTGCACAGGACTAGTTTCCTCATTCTAAGAATGGCCACCTCCTATTGATCAAGATCTAAAAACTAGTTTATTATGTTAATTTGTGTATTTATTGTAAATTTGAATATTTACAATTAGGCACCCTATTTTATCAAGGGCATACATTCTTTAATTCAATACATTCAAGAGCTTTACATTCTTCTTCCATTTTTGAGGTCTAGGAAAATGTAAAAAGGGTTGAAGTGGCAAGAAATGAAAAAGAAAACTTGGTGGACAATCATCTGTCCATACTGTATACAGAATGGTAAAGAAAGTAGATGTGGCTTGTCCAGTATTAAAAATGCAGGAATGTAGTCCTCTTATGCATTTGGCTCCCCTTATGTTTTCAGAACTTGAGTTTATTTAGTTGCAGGATAAAAGGATTCCAAAACAATTTTGATTTTTTTTATTTAGAGTCTGATTAGTTACCAGTAACATAACAATGAAGTTGTTGAACCAGACAGTATTAATATCAGGGTCACAGCAGGGTTTTTTCCCCCCCTTGATCTTAAAAATGGAGGTACACATGATATTCAGTGATATAAGCCTGTACCTCCCTATCAGCTGCCATGGCAATGGGGCATATTTGTTCCTTACAACTGCAGGATTGCCTGGTTTATATTGCCTTTAATATCCTGCCTTCCCTCTTAACTCTGCTTTTGTAGATTTTCCTGCCTGTTGAAGCATGGGCTGCATTCAGGGAATTTCAGTGCATTCTTTCTTTTTTCAAGACTTCGTTGCTTACTTCATTGGTAGGAAGATGATAAATGGTAGTTTCTGCTCCAACAGGCACAGATTTCATTTTATTATTAGTAGTAGTAGTAGCAGTAATAGTATTTCCATTTTTCCTCTGGGAGTTCAAGGTATTGCATATAGGGGTTTCTCAACATTTTAGCCTTACAAAAACAACCTGTGAAATAAATTGGTGGGGTTAGGGTTGGTTTTTCATAATAGGCACATTAATGTAATTCTGTGCATAGTCTAGGAATCACTAGTTTTGACCAGTCAGATGTTAGTAAATAGAGAGATCACAGTGGACATTTAGAATACTATATTTATTACAGCTTTCTCATTCCTTCATTTTCCAATAACCTCAAGATAGTTTTTGGTCAGTGCTTAAAATATCGTTTCTTGTATATGGTATTATTCTCATTAGTATCACTGATAACACTAATCAAGTGAAGGTTTAGAATTTGAAACAGAAGAATACTAAGATTGCATGTTCATAACATGATGATATTCTGGCTTGGCTTAGACTAAATCATACATTTGTTTTTTTATTTCTTTAGCAAAATGATGTAAAGATGTATATACATGCAGCAAAATGTCTTTCAGAAATGGTTGATACAGAAATTGAACGGATTACAGAAGTCTCAAAGGTAGATGCATTTTAGCCTTATAAATATTTTATGAAGAAGGAGGTCAATTCTTTCTCTATACTGTCCTACGTAACGTTATCATTGCAAAGTATAAGTGCATGTGGTAAGGCAGATTTTAATTTTATGTTTTTAATAGATATTAATTTGCAAATATATTTTAAGCTTGACATAATTTGAAAATGGTATTTGAGTAATTAAGGTCTTTCCTAAAAATGTCATAAAAAGACCATTTCTTGGTCAACAATCCAAACAAGTTTAGACATAGATATTGAACTAAAATCTTGATAACCTTATAATAATGGTTTAAAAGAAGATACCATTCACAAAATTGAAAATATGTACATGGTTTTCTTAAAGTAAGTAGCTTACTAGGGAACTAGCCTAGTTCTGGATCCTGGTGAGGTAGGCTTTAATTTATTGCTCCTACCCCCACCAGTCAGAATCAGAGTCGGTATTGGTGGCTCTGCAGGGGTGAAAGAGAGACAGACAGATTTGCAAATTAGGGTATGCCCAAATACATCTTCAACCTTACATTTTTGTTAATGTGAAATTCAGGAGAATCACCAGAAAGATACTCAACAGAGAACTCTTTTCTGATTATGCAGTGTCTCCTTTTCTGAGAAATCATGAGGAAACATTTCCTCTCTTCAAATAATAATAAGAGCTTACGCCACAGAGCCTGTTTCCTATTTTTCATCCATTTCATGGTTTGCTTTGCAGAACAATTTGGAAAAGGTTGCGTTTGTCAGAGTTTATTTAGTTTCTCAAGGCAGATTTCCTCTACTGAGATGGAATGATGTGATTAGTACTGCGGCTGGGTGCCAGCAGAAAGAAACCATTGTGTGGACGCTGCTGCACAGCTTTTACCACGCACGAATCCTGCGCCATGAAAACACCGGTAAGGAACCATGGCAGAAGAAACCAGGGCAATCTGCTAATCTTCACTTGCTATAATTACTAATAGTACGCTAATGTATCAAACCTCCTTTTGTTTTGTATTTACTAATTACCTTCTCCCAAGTCCTTCTGTAGAACTGTGCATGTGCAATTACCCCTTCCCCCTCCCCCTCCCCCTATTTCTACAGTTCCAGGCAGACATCAGAAAGATGGAGATTTATTGAACTGCTAGTAGACTGCGTTTGGCCTTGTGGAACATAAATTGTGCTAGGTCAGCATAAATTCCTGGTGCTTATTATTTACAGCCCTCTTAAAGAATATTTGCCCCCTTTCAGAATTCCTGAATGTTGGCATATCTTTTTCCACTTAATTTTATCAGAGCTTCTTGTGGGTCCTACCAATACATAAAAAGAGTCTGAGTGAAGAAATAACATCAAAGTTTGGTACTTGTTTCACTTACTTCATAAATTCATCCATCAAGCAATGTGCCGGTGTGAAAAAAGTAATCCTCCTCCCACCCCTATCCAGTCAATTCAGTTAAACTAATAACTGAGAGCCAATTGTATTTGAGTATTTCATTACACAGATTTGGACCAGCTCTGCCCTATATAAATCTCACAAACTTTGGCTCCCCTCATCACCATGACATTTTCACCGTATAGATTCTAGAAACACATCATGTCCTGCTCTAAAGAAGTTTCTGAAGACCTTTATTAAAAAGTTATTGATATCTATCAATCTGAAAAAGTTACATGCAAAACACTGTATAAAACTCTGGGCTTTACTGATATACAGTCAGAGACACAGTGCTGAAATGGAGAAGACTTGGGGAAACAGTGAATCTTTCCAAGAGTGGTTGTCATGTCCATATTGATCCAAGAGGACAGCATAAGATCATCCAGGAACTCACAAAGGAGCCCTGAACATCTTGGGATCTGCATGCCTCTCTCACCCTGTCTAAATTCAGTGTTCATCAATCCACTGTTGGAAAAATACTGGATAAAAATGGGATTCATGGAAGAGTAGCAAGGTGGAAGCCATTGCTTCATAAGAGAAACATTAATGCTTGTCTCATGTTTCCAAGAAGCATTTGAATATCCTTCAGACTACTAGAGGAAACTTGTATGGATAGATGAGTTAAAATTCTTGTGGCTACATGGATGTTGTTATGTTTGGTGGAAACCAACACCATGTTCTATGTCCAGTGTAGCATCTTTTTCCATATCATTCTTGTAGCTTGTCATTTTTAAATCCACCTTCAGATCAGTCTCAGTCTTGTCCAGTAAAACTTGTCCTCCTCCATAACATCTTTTAAACACAATCTATCTATAGTGGCAGAGAGTCTTAAAATTAACTTCTGTGTCCATTGTTCAAAAATATCCTTCAGTATGTCCAATGTTAAAATATTTTGCTCCATTCTCTATTAGAAGTCAAATTTAAGTGTTCTTCTCCTTTAATTGTAAACTGTTTCAAAGAATTCAAAACAAAAATATTTTCCCATGGGAAGGATTCTTATAATTAATTCCAACATCTTATTTCAAATTTATCTGGACTCTTAGTCCATTTGTAACTTTCTAAAATCAAACTTTTAATCACCCTTTTGCTGTTTATCCAGAAAAAAAAAATTAAACTTATATTTCAAACTCTTTAAACTTATATTTGAAACTTCTTTCACTAAGGATTGAAGGAAACTCATCCAGTGCTATAAATCCAAAGGTTCCTAATAGCTGAAAAGCAGTTAACCGGAAATTTCTGAAAGTGATTAGAAAAGGAAGTATGCAAATCCAGTGTCCTTAGAGGCACCAACCATGGGTTGAGCAAGATAACTATTCCCTCATTTCCCAGAGCTCTAAACCCGCCAGAGACCGCTGTCTTGCAGTCTCCTTGTGAGGAGCAACTGTCTGGAGCACATCAGTGGGCGATCTCAGGTTCTCTCCTTGTTCAGAGAGGAATTACGAAGAGCTGGTCTACTTGGCGGCTCTTCATTCCACCACGGTTGTCAGGCCCACTTTTAGTGGAGCCGTCTTCAGTTCACCTTTTCTTTCCTGAAAGAATTCTGCAAAAGACTATCAAGTATCCATCAGCTGAAGTGGAAGTTGATAATGCAATGAATCTGTGACCCCAAATATACAAGCAGGTCTACAAGAGAATGGAAAATGAAGAATGAATTTGGTGTTTAGGAATGGCCAAGTGAAAGTCCAGCTCTAAACCCCATAGATATGCTGTGGCAGGATTAGAAGTAGCAACATAGAAATGTTGTGGCACCTCTGTAAAATATACTTTTACATGGAAAGGGGAGCCCTGGCAGGAAAGGGTTGTGATGGGAACAAAGGTTTTGTCTTTAAATGCTTGCAAAGAGAAATTCTGCCTTTGTGTTTCTGGAAGTTCCACTTGTTTGCTATTTTGAAGCTCTGTTGTCCAAACTCATAAGGGCATTTCTATTCCATTAAAAGATTGGAAAGCCCTTCACATCTATTATCGTTGCTGCTTCATCTTGCAAAAGGAAAGGAGTAACCAGTTGAAAGGACTGCAAGTGGCTTCTTCGGGGTTTCCCAGCATTGCAAATGCTTGGGAAAAAAATCCCAGGTGTTTCTGAGAGCTCTTAGAGTGGCACACTGAGTGTTTGTTAGTCACTGAAATGATAGCTAGAAAAAGTAGCATATTCATTAACCACAACTAAGTATTATTATTACTATTATTACTATTAATATACTATTCTTCCCCCCCCCACATACCCCAGAGCATTTTACAAAAGAACAATAAGAACAATCTTAAATAAAAACATCTGAGTCCTAAAAACTGATGAAAAAATTGAAGTAACATTTATTTTTTTAAAAAGCCATCTGTAAGGCAATCTGATTTGGAAGAGTTGCTATCTTACAAATGCCTGTATGAATGGACACATCTTCAGTTCTTTAAAATTCAAGCATACAGACTGGGTAATATTAGGAGAGTTGAGGTTTTAAGTTTTTGAATCCAAAGCTATTTAGAGGTTAATAGGCTGATGTCAACACCTTAAATTGAGGGTAGAAATTCACAAGTTGGCAGTGCAACACTTTTAGCACTAGTGTTATAAGGACCCATCTCACTTAACAATCAGTTAAATAAATTCTGAGCCTTTGCAGCTGCCAGACCATCTTCAAGAATAGCCCAATGTGACATGCGTTGCAGTAAACTGAGAGATTATTATAGCATGGATCAGTGAGGCTAAACAATCCTTGTCTTCATGGGGTCATAGCTCCTGCACCATCTGAAATTGAGTCTAGATTTATTTTTTTTTTATTTTTTTTTTTTGGCCACAGAGGCTATTTGTTAAGAGACAGACAGACTCTCGAATCAAGGGGAGCCCCCAAGGCACATATGTGTTCCTTCAGATTGTTACTTTAGTCAGAAGAGATAATCTTACCTCCAAGGTTCCTTCCAACCCTATGATTCTATGATCTTCCTAATTCCTAAATTTAAGAACCATCCCACTGTGAGCCCATTTTCTCTTAACTCATCTTCAGTTTGTTGACCCTGTCAGTCCTTTATTGCCTATAAGCAATTCTCAAAAACCTGCAGACTTCACTGGTCCAGATGGAAAGGAGATACAGAATTTAGTGTCTTATATTTAAAACAGTTTCTGTAGCTGTATTTGTATGTGTGTGTGCCTCCAAGTCAGTCGATGCCTGGTGACTGCCTGGACAAGTCTCTGCAGTTTCCCTGGCAAGATTTCAGAAGTGGTTTGCCATTGCCTGCTTCCTGGCTCTGAGAGTGAGTGACTGGCACAAGGTCATCCAGATGGCTTTTTGCCTAAGATGGGACTAGAACTTGTGGTCTCCCAGTTTCTAGCCTGGTGGCTTAACCACTACACCAAATTGGCTCTTGTCTGTAGTTGCAAATGGAATGTTTTTTGACTTCCATGTTTAGCCTACCATTCTGGGATTTCCTGATTGTCTCCCATTCAAGAATTAACTAGGTTCTGCCACCTACTGCCAATTAGAAAATACTTAAATAAAATTAATACTCCGGCTATATAAACACAATACTCCAAATCCCAGGATGCACATCACCTTCAATATATCTGGAGAGCATGTAGCTGAGGAATTGTTACCTGGGTTACAGTTGGAAATGTGGAAAAGATGTCCACAGCATTATGATTATAGCATTTGAAAATGGGTGTGTGATTTTGATCTCTGCTTTTGCTTTTTACAGGAGTCTTAAAAAGAATGGAGTGGCTCTTGGAATTGATGGGGTATATTAGAAAAGTTTCCTTAAATACAACATCTATGCAAAATGTTTCTCCCCAAGAGGTACATTGCAAAAAAATGATGTTTTGTTTTCAGATAATTTAAACTCTTTCTGAGGAATATCAGGAAATGCTTGCTTTGGGGAAACCATTTTATCACTTCCATAATGAAAATGTCAGCTTATTGACAAAATATATCAAAATAATATTTTGGGACTCACATTTAAAATTTGGAAATTGACCATCTGGAATGCCTGAATAGTGATGGAATCTCAGAAGAAAATATTTTGGGTATACATCTAGAAGTAACTGCAATTAAAATTCAAAGTACTTTGAGGATTCATAAACCATCTGTATAATTTGCTCTGCAATTTATTTAGCTGAATAGAATTATTTACATCATTAATATTATCATTATCATTATAATCCCCAATGAAGGTGTAATGAAATATAATCTCTATAAACATAGGCATAGGCAGTGGAAATCAAGGAAAACGTAACCAAAGACTTTCCACTCCCCACCCCATGCCAGTGCTACTCTGATAGGTTAGGAAACTGCCAGCCAGACTTTGACTTTGTATGTTTATTTTCTTTTCCATTACTGTAGTGTCAGCAGGGGATTGAGTAGAAGTCTGGAAAATCTGGCATATTATATGTTCTTAATTAATGATACACCAATATTTGAACCATAGTTTCTTGAACAGTAGCCTAGTGCTCATAAAGCACTGAGCTATATCTATATCACTTTAAGCCAATGACAAACACATTATAGCTTAGCATTTTGTGTGAAGAAAGTTAAATTCTGCCCTGTGACTCCAGTACAGATTCTTCCTTTTTCCCAGACTAGCACAGAATTACTTTATTAAGTTACATACATACATACTTTACTGTGAATAAGCCCCATGAGGATAGTGGGACTTGCTTCTGGCTAAACTTGCATGTGATTCGTCCTATGCATTTACTGCCAGAATCACAAATGAAAGTTGTAGTGGAAGTTGTGGTTATTTCATACTGCAATTTCTCAGCCTAAAGCTTAAACCTATTGCAGTCCTAAGAAATGCTCCTAGAATTCAGTGCCATGTTAATAAATATTGGCATTATTTGTGATTTAGAAAAGTTGAAGTGTTTCACATACCTTATCTAGACATTCACATTACAGTCCTTTGAATCAGGATTTTTACTCCACTGCACTATATTTTACTAGGAGGATTAGTGATATTTACTTGGCCAAGGCCACTGACTGAGTAATAGATTGATTGATTTGGAAAGCATCTATATTGTACTTCAGGAATGCAGAAAAATTCCTGATCCACAGTTCGTTCTCTTAGCTGTCATATTATGGTGGCCCTTTGAGATATAAATAGAGCCCTTGTGTACTGAATACTTTATAGGGCTATGCAGCACTTTGGAATCAAAGACAAAAAGTGCTTCAGGGTATATAGGAGCACTTGTTCACTAAGTACAAGTCTTCAACTCTTTAAAGCACCTGCATCTTTTCCAGGATTGTATGGGTGCTGTCTGCAGCCGCAGCATGATCCTGGGAAAAGACATTTGCTTTACATAACCACCTTGTGAAGTAGGTGGGGCTGAGTGAAAGTGACTGACCCAAAGTCACCCAGTGGGCTTCTATGGCTGAAGATGGGATAGAACCTGGGTTTTCCCAGTGCCAGTCCGAGACCATAACCACCACACCACAGCCCAAGTAGCCACCATCTTTGTCTTGCCAACAAACCTACAAACTGGTGCATTCCATTTATAAGAAAATGTCAGGACTGATAAAATATGATCCTCCAGATTTCAATTCTGGAATTCCCTGCACTATATTTATTGCATCGTTAATGTGTGCTAATAGTACTTTTTGAAGGAACTTTTGTATTGAATGAACAGGGTTATTTCCAGCATAGCAATATATGCTATAAAATATTGTACTTAGTTATTTCTACATGCTCAAATTGGTCTTTCCAGAAATTAAAGATAAAAGTTCCTAGTTTATTTTCCTCCAGCCTGACACATTTCATAGAGTATCTCATCTTAAAAAATTATACTGTCTTTAAGACCATTAAAATGTTCTGGTAACATTCTTCTTGTTGAATGTTTGACCTCAATAATTTATAAATTGTGGCTTTCTAGACCTTTCCGGACTTCACCGACCTCATTAGCAAAATGTGCATCTGTTTCCTGTTTAGGCTGTCAGCTTCCTATTGTGGATTTTTGCTGCTTGTGTGGTTGCCTGGGCTGATCATGCCATGCCAATGCTGCTTGGCCTTAGCGCAGACTGGTCTGCCTGGCAGTGTGAAGCAACAGATAGAGTCTTCGCACATGGCTTAGGCAAGCGTCCAATGGATATCTTGGCAGTCAAAGAGATACTCACCCTTCTTCCAGGTAGCTTGCAAATTCTATTGGCCAAAGAGCCTTGGAAAGAGCAAACACCAAAGGTATGTGTTCTAAGTTGCATATCTTCATTGAACTCATCATGGGCTTGAACTATTTTTAATTTATTGAATTCAGTATTGTTATTCAGAAGTCAGTCTATCTAAGTGGAATTTTTACACTGCTGGTCATTGAAGGGATATTTGCATACAAAATAAGTACTAAGAGTAACACCAGTCAATGGAAAGTTCCACCAGATACAGCTGAAATGGGGCAATTAAAATGTTTTAAAGGTGTCAAAAATAAACTTGGGAGAATTTAGAAAAAATGTTACTCTTTTCTAAAAAATCTACAGAGGAAAACAGTCCATGTTTTGCACAGAAAACATGAAATCCAGGGCTGCCACTATGATGTCTTACACTAGTTCATTCACCAGTCTGAACTCCCAAAGTGAAAGAATCCTTTGCAGGGTCTGATGTACCAGCAGCTGGGCTCACATACAGTAGAAATGGGCATCTGTAGATCACAGCAGTATGCAATAGTTAAATGAATCTATAAAGATTTTGACAAATTATTGTTTAGTTCTAAAAGCTGTATTCTCTTCTTGACCAGAAATAAGACCACCATTATAATATCAAAATCTGACTTCAGAGGTGCTGAAAGAAAGAATTCCCATCACACCTTTGTCTTTCCCAATACGCTTTTAAGGATATTGTAACTCCTTTCCTAGCTATGAACTTGTTCAGACTGATGTGCAGATGTTTGGAATCTTGGCAGCTTTAGTGATTCCTATCCAACTCAGCATATGTTCTAAGCGGCATGTGGAAAACAGCAGCATTCTCCCAAAATCATTCCAGTGAAAACCTGTCAGTATGAGAAGGGCTTGGCATGACTGAAATTAGAGCTGGGCATAAAAGTGCTTTGGGACACAGAGAGGTATATATAGTACTTGACTGCAAATCTTTAGATTAAAGTCATATTTCCCAGGATTGCATGAGCACCCTTCATAGTTACTGGGGTTGCACTGGAGGGTAGCCATGCAATCCTGGGAAAAGACACTGTTTGCTCTAAGGAGTTGCACAGAGGTGCTGTGCAAGCATGAGTGCTCTGAAGTACCTTTTTGACTTTGGTTCTGAAGTGCTGCCCAGCCCTAACAGATTTATCAAATATGCCAGACATTGGCAGACTTAGGTCACAGTTCTTCCTGAAAAACTTTTCCACTGTCCCATGAATAATGGCTTGAACTCCAGTCAGGTCACAATGCATCTGTTTGGAGAGAGGGCAAATTAAAAAATAAAAATAGAAAACATCCGTGTGTAAGTCTGTTATGTATAATTAATGCCAAACTGTGCTTCATATAGGGCATGAACATAGCCGCTGTTAAATATTAATTACGCAGTAGGATTTTAAGTTAAGGCCTTGCAGTAAGTTTACAATGACTAATTTTTCAAAAGTCCTGAAAAAATAGCAGCAATACTATTTTTCCTTCCTTGCAAGGTAACATGCAGTTCTCACTGTTATCTCTATACGCCCTCTAATGTGTACATAGATCGGCATGCAAGATAAACCACATTTTGCCTGTAGAATTGAGAACCTGAATCAGGGTTAAGACGAGACTTAGTATGCTTATCAAAGTTGAGAATTGTAGTTTAGTGTGGCAAAGGGGTAAAATGTGATAACTTACATGTGTTTACTGTTTAATGTGCACCCTGCTTTATCATTTCTAAGAAGCAGGCAGGCGTTTTGTTTTTTGCTTTTCAAAGGAACGGTTAAATACTCCCTTTCTTCCCATTGTTTTGCCTTCACTTTTGCTTGTTCTCATCAGGGGTATGTTGAATTGTCATTAAAATGGATTTCATATGAAACAGTTTGGACTTCATATTTGAAGTCCAGATATATATATATTTTTAAGCAATAATGACAATTTCTGAATTAACTTACCAACTTTATAGCAGCTTTCTCTAATGTTTTGCCCTTCTAATGCTACAATTCTACAACTCCCACCTGCATCAATCAACATAATCAGTGACTGTTGAGTTGGCAGTAATTGTATACCAACATGTATGGACAAAGTTGAGGAGGGCTTGATTAAGTTATTTAGATTAAGAAATAATCCTAACATTTGAGCTCTAAATTTATTCACAGTTTATTGACTGGCTGTTTAGCCTAATGGAGAACACTAATGAAACACTGACCCAGTCTTCCAGAGATCTTTTGAAAGGTATTGTAGAAACTGAGTTACTAACAGACTTCCAACTTGGGTAAACAATGACAACAAAAATGTTTTTAAAGGTGATTTATATCAATTTCAAAACAAAACATGTTTACAAAAAAAGTTGTTATTCAGACTTGTTTCACACATCACATTATGGTCTCAGACGCTTGGTTATATTGGCTAGAGATGGGACAATTTGGTCAGCAACAGCTAAAAAAGGCTACTTCAGGGACTTTAAAATGTATTTCATATAAATACTTTTCCTGGAGGATGAGCCTTTCATTGGCTTCTAGTTGTTACCTTTAGGTTTGGAGAACACAAGTGTTTTTCCATTCAGTTCCCGCTTGTGGATTTCCCAGAAGTATTTGATTTGCTGCTCTGAGAAAAAAAAGGCTGGTCTGGATGGACCTTTGATTTGATCCAGGAGAGCTTTTCCTCTGATGTTAATTGACTTCCAAATTCTTTCAGGCATGCAACACTAGGAGATTTGTTTCTATTTCCATTGCTAATATTGTGTTTGTTCTTTTAACAGCTTCTTTGTTGGCCCTGAGATCTCTCCCAGAGTTCAAGAAGAAAGCAGTATGGACAAAAGCTTATGGCTGGTAGGGATCATGAAAAACAGATACCGCATCTGCTGCTGATACATGTCTAGCCAAAAAGCTTTTATGCTGTGGAATGTTAAGGAGCTTCTGTTCCAGACAGGTTGTTATCTTTCCTCCTACTGTTGCATGCAAGATACTTAAAAACTCTGCCTGTATGAATATGTACCATTTGTTCTACTGATGAAAAGAAAAAAGAAAAGAAAAGAGAGAGAGAGAGAGAGAGAGAGATTTGAATCTAATAGTTTCCTGTTTGGAAATGGGAATTGGGTAAGAAAATTTAAACCAGGCAAGAAGATTTCACGAAAGCTTGGACATGGGTTTGACAACTTCAGTGTGGTAAGATTAAAAATATTGCCTTGAAAAATTGACTTTTGAATGTGTTTTATTTGTTAGACAATGTGCTCTGATGCGAAGCAGCCACCCACTGTTTACTGATATTTCTGCTACCACTATCAGGACCAAGCAAACTAGGCTGACGAGAGAGTATTCCTCCAAGGGTTCCTTCAGCATGGAAATGGCCCCATTTGGCTCTGGCTCTCTATGTGGAAGAAATGTTATGTATGGAGGTGCATACAAATCAGCGAGCCTATAAGTATGCAGGGCTACAGCTCAGACCCAGGTGTGTCATTTCAATGAGAACTAGGCCTTTGTACAGCCAATGCAGTGATAGGTTTTCTTGTCCTAAGCATTTAAATTGGCTCCAAAATATCAGGCCATAGATTGAAAAAAAAAGTTCACTTATGTTGAAGAAGACTTGGAAGAGGACCCGGGCCCCGTAATCTATACTTCAGCATCAGATCAAAAGAAAGTTCCCCAGGAAAAAAGCTACAGAAGCACTGATGGAGGTATGTTGGAATTTGATCCAACAACATGCATATAAAAACATCTGGTTTGTGTACCTGGTTAATATCAAGGTTTCTCAACCTATTACCCCCACCCCCCGATGTTTTGAATTTCAATATTTCTATCTCTCTAAAATCTCCACTCGTTTCAGCATATTTTTTTCTTCCTACAAGTGTCTTTGGTTATTTCATTTCTGAAATGAGGTGTAAATATGGAACAAGAGAGGGGAACATTCCCCAAGCAAAAAGTAGATTAAAAAGGAGTCTCAAGGGGAGGGCAATCTCTGAAAATCAATGTCAAGGTTTGGAGGACTTTCAAAAATGTTGCTACTGTAATATAAAATCTAATCATAAAGTACAATTCACACATACTTTAACACAGGGGTGAGTGCCATTTTAAAAATATTTTTTCAACACCTCAGCATAACAGGGATGTGGCTGATTGGGGAAAAGAATGAGGCTACATGAAATAAAAGTTTTAAGACTTTGAAAAGCTTAGTGTGCCTATTTTAAAAAATCTTAAACAGTTTTTAAAAGATATTTAAAATCATTTGGCTGACAACCAGCTTTTTGCCATCAAATCTCAATGGCATGATCCCAAGAAGCGCCAGAATAGCAAAATACAGACTTGGGGGATGTATGAGGTTCATGGGTTATGGAATGCCCACTCCTGCATCTGTACCCAAATGGACATATTTTATGACTTGCAACATATCACCAGATGCTTAATCAAAATTTCAGGTGCACACAAAATGCCCAGAACATATATCCTACTTTTTAAAAAGTTAACTATTGCTATCAAACCATTTTGTTCTACTTTTCTGCCTGGTTTTCATGTCATATTGCTTCAAAGGCACCAACTGACAAAAAAGTAGGTTGCAACAAGGTAATTGTGATTCTTTGTTTTGTTTTGTGGCAGTGCTAGAAGCAGTGAACACATCCTAGACAACTTTAAAAGAATTCTCCAGTGTGGATATACACACACGCATGTACATAATATCCTGGCTTTTAAATGAGGTAATGTTCTCATTAACTGCAATAGAGCAAGTAGCTTTTGCATTTCACTGAAAACAATGGGAAAGCTACTGAAAGTGTGTTTAAGCAATCAAGAAATTATTGTGATTCTGCCTTGTGTGCCTCTGTATACAAAGTCTGTGTGCAGCAATCTAATTGCCAAGAAAGTGTAGTGTGCTTTTTAAGCTTGAAATCTCCAGATGACTAGCTCTTGGTATATTGATAATTGTCACAAAGGCTGTTTCATAGGAGGTAAAATTTGTCATTCCCCACCGAAAATATGAGTTAGCTTCTTTTCTCTTTGATGTTGTAACTTCCTAGATGAGTCTTCCGTTCCATATAAAGGTATTGAACAATGAAGTATGTACCTAAACCCAAACCACAGCATGCTTTAAATACAAGAAAGAAAAAAAGAAACATAAAGTATGCAATGGCATTATTCTTATAAAATAATTCAGTCCCTCTCCCAGATTCTCATACCTTAAACTTGATCAAATGTATTTAATTGAAAATGAATGAATTTATTTATTTAACCCACAGCAGCTTATATTATATTTTTAAACTAATTTAGCACATTTTTGTGACTCAGTAGGCCACAGGGATCTCTGCTTAGTCCCTCAAGATTCCTCGTTTCCTGTTGCTTAATATCTGCAGGAAAAACTAAAATCCGTACTAGGAATGCTAAAATGAAGGAGGAAATAGGCTGAAAATTGCTTTGAAATGCTGTTAGGAGAAGAACCATCAAGGAACATGACAAGGTTTCCCTCATTCCCTTTGACCACTCAGATATGCTTGGGCAATATTCATTTGTGTTCTGCTTCGCTGTACATGTGAAGCGTACAGTAAGCATACATATATCCAAATAGCTGGACAAACAAAATGGCAGAGTGGCCCACTTCTGACAATTAAGCAATACACTGTCATTTAAATCAACAAATAGGTAAGGATATTTCTATTTGGGATCCAGTATCTGTGGGAAACACAATGTGGCTGATGAGGGCTTTGCATTTATACTATATTGTACCCATCTGTTTATAGCTGCTCCATAGTAAGTGTATAATTTGTCTAGGGATCTGATGTAACTGGGCTGAATATCTATAGGTCCTACACTGGTATAAGAGAGAGGAGGGCTGTGTGTACACAGAACTTCCTGTACCAATCGGGCCCCAGTGAGGGATTGGAGTGTAGTTCCCAGTCCTGCCAATCCATTACAGAGTATCTTCTCTGGTGTATTTGCTAAGAAATAAAAAGCTTACCGCCAAATAATATTGCCATGTACATTTTCAGTACATAGGGAAAGTAAATAGTTAGATCAAATGGAAAGAGTATTCGGATGGAGTAAGTGCCTGAGGTTTCAAAGTGAGGCAATGATTCATATATGGCGAATGCTGGGGGGGGGAAGAAAGAAGAAAAATCAGTCAAGTGAAAAATTCTAAACATGCAAAAATGTTTTAGCACCTCAATTCTGCATAATACATTCAATTCATCTGGATGTAGGTTAGGCTCGTGCTTCAGCTAGGACTAGAGATTAGAGTTTTCATTCAAGAGCAGAAATGGGTAACCTCTGGAATATGTTGGATCCCAGTTTTCATCAGCCTTATCCAGCATAGCCAATAGTTACAGATGCTGGGAGTTATGGTTCAGCACACCTGGAGGACCATAAGTCCTCCTTTCTTCTACCCTAAAGAACTGAAGCTGATTTGAAAGATTACTCTTGTGATATGTAGCCTTATCCCATGTTGTTTCAGAGAAGCAGATTTTTGCATTTTTCCAAGAGGCAGCATGACAGGAAAAACGTTACCAACTTTTGAAACAATTGGTGATATATAGTATTTGAAAATGGAAAGTTTCCCAGTGCCATGCAAGGCATGTGACTCCTCACTGGAAATATTTTCTTATGGAGAGTCGTCATATTTATCCTATTGTAAATACTAAATACATTCTACCATCCCATAGATGTCTACTTAGAAGAATGTTCCAATGAAACTTACTCCTAGTTAAATATGTATAGGTAGTCCTCGCTTAACAACCATTCGTTCAGCAACCATTCAAAGTTACAGTGGTGCTGAACAAATGGTAGTTATGACTGGTCCTCAAAGTTATAGCTGTTGCAGCACCCCTGTGGTCATGTGATTGGAATTTGGGTGCTTGGCAGCCCACCTGCATTTACAATCACAGTGTGCGCTTCAACTCCTCCCACCCACCTATCTCCCCCATCTCTGACCTTTTGGCCGCCCTGTACTCCGCTGCCACCACCTGCCCCTACCGCCCCCAGCTGACCTTCGCCATCTTCTTCTTCCCACTGTTGAGATGTGCCTGGCTGAGACAGCTGCTGGCCCTTTGGCCAAAAGGGCAGAGATGAGGGGGGAGATAGGCAGGTGAGGGGAGTTGAAATGGAGGCAAGCACAGCAGGGCAGGAGAAGCGTGAGGTCCTCGCGTAACAACAGTATGGTCCTCGACTAATGACTGCTACTGGAACTGCTGTTGCTAAGCAGTGCAGTCACATCATATTTCACCTAATGACCACTTTGCTCAGTGATGGAAATTCCAATCCCAATTAGGGTCATTAAGCAAGGACTACCTGTACAGAATTGCAGTTTCAGAAATGATAGCCTCCTCCTCCACTTACCTTGAGCCAAAACCAAGAGAGGATAGAAAGGAATCCACAGTGAATGGTAGAGCCAAGTTAGTCCTTGAAAGTATATCCCTGTCTCCAATAATATGCAGTATGTGTATCTAGAAGGAAAAATAGAGAGCGGGGTGGGAGGAGTTGTGACATGTGAGTTGTGTCATGATATAAATAATGTATATGATATCATTACGATTTGTACTGGATTTCTATGGGGAGATGAGTCCCACACAGCCTTCACTACCCAGCTTCTCTGCAGTTGTGTTATGCTATGACTGCTATTGTTCCAACTCAGAAAGCTGTGCTACTGGAAATGATCAGTGTTTGTAGTTGAATCCTGCTGAAGGAGATTTGTCCCCAGTTTGGGGAAGGATTATTTGATTAGTCAACTTTTTAACATTTGCTAGGTTTCACAGAAATCAGAATTAGCCAGTACTGTCCTTATGTTTTTTATTGACTCCAATAAATTGCAGGAACCTCAACAAACTAGTTTGCTTACATTTTTGCTCACTGAATCATTCAATGTCTTACTGTTGCCTCACTGCAGAGAATTAACAGAGCCCAAAAGCAACTAATTTCATTCATATGTGTTTACAGTATTCTGATCTTCTGTATATTCTAATATTATCAAAATCTTGGATTCTAATAGTCTGAGTATTGTCTTCTATTTATATTACTGTATAAAAGAGTACAATATGTCATCTATAACTAGAAAGGTTAAATGTATATGGGTAAGAGAATGTATATCCTTATCTTTTGTGCTATGTTGCAAAGGAAGCCTCCCAGATAATAACAGTGAATTCCATGCAGAGAAGGTAGATATGGGAAACTTCTTGGCTATGTGTCCAAAGGAGTGGCATTAAATTCTCACCTGATGACATCAATGCAACTCCAAAGGAAAAATAAGACACATACAATGTATTTCCCTTGAACTTCTTCTTGACTTGCTATTGCAACAAATAAGATGACAATTCTTTCTGTGATCTGGAAAAAATAAAATAGTTTATTTCTTCCTCAGTTCCTTCTCTTTGGACTGAGTCACCCTCTGGGGGAGATGGGCGGCATATAATTGTAATAATAAATAAATAAATGTGATAAAAGTGGCTACGGGTGATACTATTTTCAATTATGTTAAAGATTGCATCATAGAAGACAAGCAGGCTGTATTTGTATGGCATATGTCCTCTGGTTAACTAAGCTATTTACTCACCCTAATTTTCAGGCTTGACATATTGATAAGTGCAGAGGCTGGATTCACACACCACACTAAACTAAACACTGTTTGCCTAATCAGAGTATCATGTAAACACAGCTGCAGAAGTACAGCATAAGATGCACTAAAGTAATAAAATATACTTTTCCCACTAAATTCTGTATTTTAATGTCAAGATAATGCTTCTGCTATCTTACTTGGGAAACGCAATACTGTAGTTTGCAAAGTAGACTCCATTAATAAGTATTATTGATATGATTTGCCTACTCACTAGATTTCCAAACAATGCAGTTGCCATTAAAAAAAATGGGTAGCAGGTTTGTACTACCTTTGAATAAATTATCACAGTTTGAGGGTGACTTATTTTATGCAAGCCAGAATTAAGTTTAGCTACAGATTAGAACTGAAACAAAGCACTAATCTGTAGTTAACCAAAATGCAAATGTATAGGTAGTCCTCATTTAATGACTGCCTGGTTTACCGACCATTTGCAGTTAAGACAATTATGAAAAAGTAACTTTGTGACCAATCCTCGCATTTATGACCTTTGCAGGTTTGTAAAGCGAAGGAAAGCTGAAGTAAGATTGTAAAATCATGATGTTTCACTTAGCAACTACTTCAGTTAACGACCAAGTTGCCAGTCCCAATTTTGGTCACTAAGCAAGGACTACCTGTAATCTCTTCTCACTTGTGCTGGATGAGACAAATGGAATGAGCACACTAATTGGAGGTTCATCCATCTTATTCCTTTCATGACTAGCCAGGAGATTTATCATGACATCCAAACCAACTAATAACTGCAGACTGAAAGTATATTCCCTCAAGTTTTCCACTCTTATCTTTCTTGAAAAGAAAATACCTGTAGTATCTTATTTGATGGAGGAACATATAAAAATATTATTTCCAGTGTAATGAAATATGGCAAAAAAAATCCCAGAGGATCTTTGAGATTTTTTACAGAATATACATACATACATACATACATACATACATACATACATACATACATACATACATA